AAAAAAAAAAAAAGAAAATTGCTCTGCCCAGTGATATTGATGCTGACGACTGTTTCTGATTGGCCATATATTGAAAACAAAAAATTGTTAAGAAACGAGACTAGATACATTTTCAAGTTGAAAGTTAATACTTTTGCGTGGGGTTAACAAAATGTAGAAAAAATTTTACTGTTTGCGCTATAGCGCCACAAAAACCCTCAAAATCGTCATTTTTTACTTCATTTTCCTCAAAATTGTAACGTGATAGCCAAATTTAGACGACGGATTTGTGTTCAACAGGCAAAAATATCGGAAATAACTATTCGTATTCGTGTCACGAAAAAAGTTCGATTTTTGTCGAACAGTGTAATTATTTGTCCTTGGTGCAAACAATCACTTTATATCACACATTTTTTTCATGAGCATTACCCTTGTAACAAATATGTGTCATAAATAAAACACATTTATTTTTTGTGTGTATGCAAGTTTTGTATTGATTTTTCTTTAATATTTTATTAATTATATAATTAATACAATAAAATAACACACACATTATATATTGTAAACATGATATATTAAATATATGCAATTGCTATGTGTAATTTTTCTACAATTTATTATATTAGAACAATACATGCGCGCGCTACGCGCGCGCCATATAGCTAATAAAAAACAATAAAAAATGTAAAATAAAAATAAAATAAAAATTAAATTAAATTAAAATATACTTTAATTAATTAATAATTATAGGGAGAGACAGGGAGAGACAAGCAGAGACGGGAAGAGACAGGAAGAGATAGGGAGAGACAGGGAGAGATAGGGAGAGACTGGGAGAGATAGGGAGAGACAGGGAGAGACAGGGAGAGACATATCTCTCCCAGATAGTATTTTTTTTTTCGTGATCTAACCAACGCGATGACAGCTATTTGCCTGGTAATTTGACAGGCGCAAACACGAAGCAAACCGCAGCCCACATGAAGTGAGCTAAGCGAGAGAATCAATCAGCAGCGCGGAAAAGCGGCAACAATTAAATCTCTTACATGCCTTTTTAAAGAGACTAGAACACCACATAGCGCGCGCTTCGCGCGCACCACTTTAGCCTTTTCGTTGTACCATTTATAATTTATATTACAATACTCGTTTTTACAAATTATATTTCCAGCAAACATAATGTTACATATAACATACATGTTAGTTGTAATTTCTTATTCAACAATGTAACTGTTATATAACACGTATATTATATAACAGTTATATTGTTTGTTGAGTAAGAAATTACAACTAACATGTATGTTACATATAACATTGTGTTTGCTGGGATTACAATAAATATTAAATTTATATGATGCGAACACAACCTGATCACCGCGGCTAATAGCTGCAAGCGGCACGAATTCAACTGCGACGGGATCGAGACAATCGAGACGGTCGAGACGGCCAATTAGCATCGCGAAAAAGAGGCTTCATCCACTTCGATACATTCGAGATTTAGTTAACACACACTTTTTCTGATAGGATTCTCCTATTTATAGTATCCTATCTATCTACCTACAGTATCCATCTACTTGGACAGTGTGGCGCCTATAGTACGATGTTATCACGTCGTTTTCCAACGATTAAAGCGAGACCAACTTTTACTAGTATATATGGATAGATTTGGTATTAAATGGTCTACAATTTTTGTTTTTACAAAAACTTAAAAAATTAAATTTTGCGAAGATAAGGAATGAAGGGGGAGGGAGAGTAAAAAATTTAACATTTAAAAAAATTAAATACGCCATTGCAAAGAGTATTAAATATTGTAAAACTTTTGTAGGAAACATTTTTTCATATACCTCATATCTTAGAAATTATTCCATAAAAATTAAAAAGTTAATTTTTTTCAAGGGACTGTTTTAACCTCTAAACCTCGAGATAAGTCGATATAAAAAATATGGGTCTTTTATTTTTTTATATTCTACAACATATCCAAAGCACATCAAAATCGGTGAAAGACAGTTTTGTCAGGTCTCTTGTTAATAAATTTCGTAATATAGATAATTTTCGTTATAATTGTAAGATGACTATTTTAAATGGTTTTTTTTTCTGTATATAGACATTAATATGTGATTTTATGAAACAACTTACATATAATTATATTTAACAATATAAAATTATAATGATAAGTAATTATATTAATAGCTATAGGAAAACGTTACAATTAATAATATCTAATTATATTAATTGTTATTGGTAGTAATATATATATGGATTGTATATATATATATATATGTGTGTGTGTGTGTGTGTGTGTGTATATTGCATTAATCAGATATCATTATAATCATAAAAGCATTAACAATAAATATATTAATCATCATTATGTACAATATATTATATTAAGCTCAAATCAAGAGAAGAGTATAATTTATGAGTTGATGGAAATAGATACATTACCTCGAGCAGCACCGTGTTCCGACGATCCGCCACTTCTGGCGCGCTGCTGTTGGATGCCATAAGAGGGACTCGAGACATATTCTCTGGGAGATTCTTGTGAGGCGCGATTAACGGAATTTTGGAGTAAATTCTGCTCCGCAGTCCTCCTTGAGATCTTTCGCGCCGCTTCTCAGACTGTACGTAAGAACATTGCGAGCTGCCGCCTGCACAAGAAATGAAGACTCTATTTAGTATCAGGTACATCGGGGCGGGATTAATCGAACTACATCGGGACAAATTATTTGGAAACGTCGTGAAAGCTTATCGCGATTGTGAATTGCTGCAATTTCTTGGATAAGATATAAAGTTATTTTTATCTAGTTAAAAAAACATCGTTACACCATGTTGCGTATTTCAGAGACACGTCTGCGAATCGATGATGCAACGTTACGTGTCGCTTTTTTATGGGAATGTTGTTTTTCTTTATCTTTTGCTCTCTCTCTTTCTCTCGTGCAAATCTCCAGTGAATCACGAACCGTTATCTCATGGCGGTTCGATGACTTACATTTTTACGCGTTTTATCGATCATGCCGTTCACTCCTTGCATCGATTGCCATACCGACTTTGCGAGCAACATGATATCTAATTCACACATGGGTTTGGCGGTGTTTGCGGAAGATAGAACGCCGCTGCTATTGCTTATTGTTTTTTATTGATGGCGATAAATAATGCGTGGGTGTTTCCGGAATTAATTCAGCGGAAATTAATTGAATAAATTGCCACACAAATATCGTTGTTCACGAAATGTTGGAAACGAATCCAATAAAATGCAGTAAAATACGGCTTCAATCTGCAGTTAGATTCAATATCAACGTGTTGACCGAAAAAAGAAATGAAAATGCTGAATTAAAACAAGTATATTGCGATTTGTTACTGAAGCATACCTCTTTTATCTGAAATAGCTCGTGTGACACATATTTTAATAACATAATGATATGTCATGTGCCAGACGTAATTCCTTGCTTTTGAGGATTACGCATCGTTGCAATTTCTTTCAATAAAGTTACTGCAGGAGAACCCCTCGTTACGAAAACTCAACATTCACTGATAAGTGTGGACGATAAAATTGCGGCACGTGGCGTTTCTACGGAACTTATGAAATCAGTGGGCTTATCACTCAAGAATCTATGATAAACTTGTAATTATACTTAACGCGCATGGATCTATAATAAACAAGACCGCAACCGCAATAAGAAAAATGTATTATACACGAAAAAGAAAGTTTAATCGGATTAAGCAAATGTCTGGTGAAATATTAAACGAAACAAAGATCGGTTGAAGTTACTAAAATTTTGTTCAAGTTAACAAGATTTTAACCAAACAGAATTCCTGGTTAACCAGAAATCTTGTTAATTTGAATAGAATTCTGATAACTTTAACCGGAATTCTAGTTCGTTTATATTTTATCAGACATTTGATTAATCCAAAAAAAATTTTTCCGTATATTTAGCGAGAGATTTGCATTATACCGGCGACATTTGCGGGAACTCGCGATGTTACCGTGTCGAAGATGCGTTAAGGTTGTGCATGACAGTACAGTTAAAAAGATTAGCACAATAAAAAGTTTGACAATAAAAAGTTTGACAAATCTACATTAAGCATTTATAAATATGACATAATATACAGTGTATGTGTATATTTTTACAGTGTATGTATATATACTACCCTTATAGAAATATCATACTAAGAATCATTGATAATTACTTATTATCCAGTATTTTTAATACTGAAAATAAGTAATTATCAATGATTCTTAGTATGATATTTCTATAAGGGTATCGCGAGAGAATATCAATACAACTTTCATGTTTAAATATTGAAAAGTTCAATATTTAAAAATCCATAAAGAAATAATTATTTTTCGCGTTTTATCATGGAAGACCTTTGGCTGGATAAGAGAGATGAAACATTTTAATTATTCTTGTCCCCACAATAGCATGACAATTGTGCACTTCATCTGGTCAATCATAAATTTTTTCCTTTAGCATAAACTCGTGAAAATTGAAAATTTTCTAATGTAAAAGCATGTAAAAATGTTTACTTTTCACGAGTTTACGTTAGGGGAAAAGATTCATGATTGATCCTTATGTTATATAGCTTTTTTTATCGAGTGTATCATATTGAATAACCTTATACTTATAAGTGTACTTTATTAATGTTATGTACACTATTATCGCTTTATAATTATATACAACTCTCTGTTTTCTATTCTGATGTAATAAGTAATATTTAACGATTAATTATGCCATTCAGCTTTATAAATGAGTTTACATGAAATATGTTTTCAATCTGAAAGCTTGTTATTCATCAATTGCTTCAAATTAATTCAACAACATTACGAGCTAGATGAAACATGACGGCAAAAGATCATATAATGGAACATTATACAGGGTGAATATTATATACCGGAACACCTGAATATCTCGAAAACAAAGCGTTGTATAAAAAAATGTTAAATACAAAAGTTGTAGGGTTTAAAAAGATCTATTTTATGATATTAGCAGTTTGACCTTGAG